GTCCTTTGTTTCATAAGGAAGTAGTCTAAGCTGTCCAGTTAGGCATCTAGCTGTTATCTTGAGGAAGAGTGAAGGATATACTATAGATAATTGAAAATTAGAATGTTAGACTTTTCTGTAAAAATATTATGAAAGACTGAATTACACAGTATAAATTACTGAAATGTATGTATATAAATTATACACCCTAAATTGCTTACAAAACTTTTCTGGAATCATGACATCCAAGATTTATCTGTGACCAGTATATTTACTGTATTTCTAGATCCTTGTCATGAGATTGCAGGGACAGTCACCTTGTATTTGCTGCTGTCCTTGCAGCATAGCACTGACGTTATACAGGTGACTGATACTTGCTGGTTATTGAGTCCAAGCTAGCTGACATCACTTAACCATAACAGGGAAATTAAATGCTCTGATAAAAACCTGTAATCATTTACATTTTCCTTTTCTATCTGCTATTAGTCCAGTCCTCATGTTTTGTCCATGTGATATACGTACTTTGATCTGTCCAAGTTATCTTTTAACTTCTTGATTAATTTCTAACTGAATGTAAGCATAAATAACGATAGAAGACAGCACAATTTGTGAGCATCTCTACATTTTATCAAGATGTCCATGACATGGATCTCTGCCCTGCTATTGCTACAACTGAGTTGTTATTTCAACTCTGGGAGCTGTGGAAAGGTGCTGGTGTGGCCAATGGATTTCAGCCACTGGTTGAACATAAAGATCATACTAGAGGAACTTATCCAGGGGGGACATGAGATGACAGTTCTGAGACCTTCAAGTATCATTTTTGCTGATGTTAATTCATCATCCCAAATTAAGTTTGAAACATTTCCTACATCTGTCAATGAAGATCAGTGGAAAGAAACTTCTACTCAATTGATCACTAAGTGGATGAATATGGGGTCAATAGAATTCTTTTTCACACAGTGTCTAGAGGCAGAAAACATTTTTAAAGATTTTTTTGACAGTTGGAGAAATTTTTGTAAAGAAGCAGTCTCAAACAAGATACTGATGAGGAAACTCCAAGAATCAAGATTTGATGTTCTTCTTGCGGATGCCGTGGGTCCCTGTGGTGAGCTGGTGGCTGAGCTTCTAAAAATACCTTTTGTGTATAGCATCCGTGGCACTCCTGGCTTCCATGTGGAAAGAAATGGAGGAGGGCTTATATGTCCTCCTTCTTATGTACCTGTTTTAATGTCAGGACTAGCTGGTCAAATGAGTTTCATAGAGAGTAAAAAACATAATGCACATGCTTTATTTTGACTTTTGTTTTGCAATACTTAATGAAAAAGAGTGGAATGAACTTTACAGTGAAGTTTTAGGTAAGCCATGCTTTTAATTAATACAATGAGTTGTTTTTGTCTCTTTTTTTCTTTGTTTGTTTCTTTTTTGAGACAGGGTCTCACGATGTAGTTGAGACTCACCTGGAAGTTATTGTGGAGCCCAGGCTCGTCTCGAACTCACAGCGATCCTTCCTCCTCAGCCTTCTGAGTGCTCTGATTACAGGCATGCGCCACCACACCCAGCTATACAATGAGTTATTTAGTATCTTGTGCCTTTGTAAATCAGTTTGGATGAATATAAAAGAAGAGGACTTTGTGTTTTATAGGTTCATGATGAAGTAAAAAGTAAATTATTTGTCAATCTGGCAGTTATAGTCGAATTATTTACATTATGTAATCGTATTGGGGCCTTTTTCATTTAACTGATATAGATCATTGCAGGAGGTCACACCGTTTTACAGTGAAGCAGTCAGCTTTAACTTTACAATTTCATATCAATTTACCTTCTTTTATCATAATAGTCTTTCGGCACCTCCCTAATGTCTTTATGAGTGAAGAGTAGATTGAAGAGTTTCTAGCAAAAGTATCTAGTAGCAATGAGGCAACTGTTTTCTCATGAGTAGATCAGTTTCTTTACCTAAAAAAACAATTTTTCTTTCCTATATAAAACATATCTATACTCTTGTGAATTTTACAGTGTTCTGTCCCAGACTCAAAATCTGTAACTTGCATATTCTAGTGATTTGACATTCTCTGATAAGTTAACAATCATCCATTTTAAAGTTTTAAAATCGGCAGAAACAGGAACATACATGTAGTGTTTTTCATTACATTTTGATATTTGATAAAAGAATGAGCCATAATAGAGTATAAGGACTGATCTCAGTTTCTATAATTTCTGCTAATTTCCCAAGAGATGATTGCAAATGCTTGCAAATGATAATTATATATTGCTAGTCTGCTAATATTAACCAAAAGCAAGGGTAGTACAAGAAATTGAGCCATAGTCTCACAGAACTCACAATCCACTTAGATCAAGTAACAGCTTGTTAAATAGGAGACATTAAGGTATTTCTGAAAAACTGGTTCCAAATTTATGGTAGTAGTGCTTAACTTTGAAGCTGGAGCATTTGTTGAATTTTGCATCTGTTATGCTGACAGCTTTAGAGTAACAGGAATATATGCTTAACTATGTAATGATTTTTGATAACTATTTACTAATGTGAGCATACTGAAATAACATAGAGATCTAGTTTCATCTCATCCTTTCTTAAAGACACAACTGTGCTGCACATGAAACAAAATTTTATTGTTCATATGTAAATATATTTTTGTCAATGAACAGTCAATTTATATAGTATTCCTATAACATTTAAAAACATGGTATATTTACTAAACAGTTATGTAATTACCCAGCTTTTTCTTTTTACCCGACTCCATTCAGGAAAACGTACAACATTATATGAGACAATGGGAAAGGCAGAAATGTGGCTCATTCGAAGCTACTGGGATTTGGAATTTCCTCGGCCCAGCTTACCAAATTTTGATTTTGTGGGAGGACTCCACTGCAAACCTGCCAAACCTCTGCCTAAGGTAAATACATTACTGTCTTTAGTTTTTCTTTTAATTTTCTGTGGTAATGCTCTGCACTATTTATTGATAGTGTCAACTCACAGTGAGAAATATGTGGGAAACAGACAAGTATCTTGCCAATAAGAAATCCATATTTCAGTTGAAAATGTTAGCACATCCCTATAATCACAGAACTACAGAGGAAGAGGCAGGAGAACTACTTGTTCAATCAAACCTTGGCAACAAAGCATATTCAAAAGGTGACTTTGACTGCAGAAAGGATCGTGTTCTGAAAAAAACAAGAAAATTTCTCATGTTTTTATTCCAAAAGAAGTATCTGGATTTCACTACCATTAAAGAAAATTATGAGATGCCTAGGAGATACTCAGAGTGGAGTCCATTAATTATGGTCCCCATTGCTCACTATCATTCATTTGTCCACTCAGAGACTATAAAGTGACCTGAGTATATGACCACTAAGTATAAAACAACCCTAGAAATAGCATAGAAATGGTACCTTCTGTTCCCACATACCTTATATACTATGTGGAAAGAGAGTTTAAATAAGTAATACAAATTATGTAAAACACATCTTTAAAGGGAAGAATTATCTTACTAAGAAAATTTTCAATGTGATTATATAAAACATCCCAGAAAAATTAATAACAATGACAATGATAAATGAACAAGGTGCAGGAATAGGTAAGGGATGCGGGCCAGAGAAAGGTACAAAACAGAGCACAGTTAGAATGGGAACATTTCCCAAGAACTGCAAGCTTATTTTATGAGGATGATAATTTTTCTGGATAGCTAATTTAGAACCAGATGACACAGTCCAAAATGTGTAATAAAGGAATTGTTGACATTGACAAGGGGAAAAAAAAAACTGAGCTAGGGCAACAAATGATCTGATTTCCCTGTTTTTTTTTCTTAAAGAATCCTTGAGGGTGCCGTGAGTGAATTACATTGCAGAGATGCAGAATGGTAGAAATGGGAAGCAGTTTGAAGTAGGTTGTAAGAGATCAGGCAACGCATGATGAAATGGAGACTAAGGGATGCACACCTGTCCAAAATCTACTCACATAATCAAAGTAGAAGTTTATATTGACTGTTGTGGGGATGAAATATGTAATACTTTAAAGAAAGTATTTGTAGCAGTTAGTAAGGCCAGAATTAGTGGTGGTCTATTGATTTGATTGCTATATTATTATTATTAATTATCTAATAGATTATAAAGTAATCACATTAAATTTGAACTGACAAACAGTTGAAGATGATAATCCCATGTATTATACATCTACTTTCAAAGAAATCAATAGAAGCTTTTCACTAAATGTATAATTTTGGGCAATAGAATGAACAAGATCAAGTGAGTAAATTTTACTTGAAGAACCAAAGATTTTTCTTATTATTCTAGCTTACAAAAAAAAAAAAAAAAAGAGTATTGGTCAATCATACCAGCAATCTTTGTTACCAAACTGAGCATCTCCTTCCATTGTCTATAGCACTGAAACCATTCCTCACTTCAGATTCCAAAGTTTTACATTTCAGTGTACAAAGAATGTATTACTTTCTTGAAACAGGTATCTAATGCCTTTGACAAACCTGTGGGATACCTCAGTAAAATGCCCTGCAGTGACACACTTGTGGCATGAATGTTACCTGGCAAAGTGAATGCAGAGTAAAGGTTCACTGCTTAGGTATTAAACATTTTACAATTCCTATGATTTCTCTGAATACTGATTTGATGAGAATCACAATACTATTCTGGCAGTGTATAGAGTGATATTCTTTAAGAACAAACACAATAATTTTATCTGTATTAAATAGGCATCACACTTCTAAGATACAAATAGAAATGAGTCATTCTGCTTTGTTTCAATATACCTGATGTTTTAAGAAGTTGTTTACCTTCTTATTGGCAAAAGTGTAAAGCTGAAATCTGATTATGTGCCTAAAATCCAATTTTTTTTGGTATTTTTTGTTGTTTTTTTTTTTTGGTACTGAGGATCTAAAAGGTAGGCACCATTCCACTGAACCAAATCCCTAGATAATCCAATCTCCTTTTTAGAGCAAATTGTGGAGACTCCACAATAACTTCAAAAGTCAAATACTTGAGACATTATTAAAAAGTGTATTAGTAAGCAATATATCTATACACTTGAATTTCTTGATTAAAAAGCAATCATGTTGAAGGAGCAGGAAATAGATTAAGCAGAAGAGGATGAAAAAAGATCTCTGAAAATGACAAAAATTACTAATAATAGATGTTATTAAAAGGCCAAAAAAAGAAATTTGCATCATCTTAACATTTATATGATTCATTTGAATAAAGAAAAAGAATCCAGATGCACGAATATATTTATCTAGAAATTATTTATTAAAAAACTGGAAAGTAACACAAAACCTCCACTTCTATGGAATAATTCAATTATGAAATATGTGTCTAATACAACATCTCAGTTGTTTTACTTATGAAAACTTGATAACACTAAATTAACCATAGTAGGAAGATCAGATTAATAAATATATTTATATTAATATCATATGTATATATCACCCTAGTTGTCTCACCAAAGGCATTTAATAGCAATAAATCGGTCATAATAAGAGTGTGAGATGAGAAGAATGAAAAGAAAATTGATAAATTCACTAATTTTCTTGGGTAAACTGGAAACATAAACGAGAACAATCATTTTCTAAATATAATCTTATAATGCAAATGAAATATAAACCTTTGGTTCTGTAAAGAGTTGTTTGAAACTTTGCACAAAAATGTTAACCTTACTAAGGCCATCTTGACCTGAATTTCTGAAGCTATCACTTTGTCTTATATGTATTTTATCAGAGCCATTCTAATAATTGCTGTTAATTCTTGACTTTAACATTTTCATTTTTGTAATTACAGCATTTTTGATACTGTTTTCTGGGCTGTTGTTACTTTTCTGATGGAGCAAATGCTTTTCAGGAAATGGAAGACTTTGTGCACAGCTCTGCGGAGCATGGCATCGTGGTGTTTGCTCTGGGGTCGATGGTCAGCAACATGACGGAAGAAAGGGCCAATACGATTGCTTCAGCCCTTGCACAGATTCCACAAAAGGTTGGCAAAGAGTCTCATTGGCAAACATCCACAAAAGGAGTCATTAAGCCCTGCAAATATCTTATTTCAGAAAGTTGCTCGATCTTTCTTCCTACAGGATTGGTGACATCAATCACTGTATACATTAGCAATGCTTCAGAAAGAATTCAATTTTATTTAAGAATGCATTGTAATAATTTAAGCAGGTATTGAAAGGGATTTGGAATAAAGCATGCAAGTTAGGCTTTCCATGTTATCATCACCTTTTAATTTATCCCAGTTTTGTGGTATATTTCTTTAGTGTGCATCTTAGGGTGATATTCAGAGCAGAAAAAAGCAACTGGAGCCAATTCAAGATTCACATATCCCCTAAGGCATGTAAATTT